ACCACATTATTATTATTATTATACAGGATTTATATAGCGCCAACAGTTTGCTCAGCACTTTACAATATAATGGGAGACAATACAGCAACAATACAGTTCAATACAAGAGGGATAGGAGGGCCCTGCTCCTTGGAGCTTACAATCTAGGAGGGAGGGGCTAGTGGTACAAAAGGTAGTAACTGTGGGGGATGGACTGGTTGGAAGAGTAGAAGATTCCATTATTAGCTGAGGGCAGGATAGGCTTCCCTGAAGAGATAGGTTTTCAGAGATCTCCTAAAAGTAAGCAGAGTAGGCGATAGTCTGATAAATTGGGGTAGAGATTTCCAGAGGATTGGAGAAGTCCTGGAGACGAGCATGGGAGGAGGAGACAAGGGAGCTAGAGAGTAGGAGGTATTGCAAGGAGCAGAAAGTACAGTTTGGGTGATATTTAAAGAGACAAGATCGGTGATGTAATTTGGGGCAGAGTTATAAATGGCTTTATACGTTATTGTTAATGTTTAGAATTTTTGGGCAATGGGAAGCCAGTGGAGGGATTGGCAGAGAGGGGTGGCTGATACAGAACGGTTAGTAAGGTGGATGAGTCTGGCAGCAGCATTCATGATAGACTGAAGAGGGGATAGCCTGAAGAGGGGATAGCCTGCGATTAGGTAGGCCAATGAGGAGGGAGTTACAATAGCCAAGGCGAGATATAACAAGGGAGTGAATAAGTTGCTTAGTGGTTTCAGAGGTTAGGAACGGGCGTATCTTGGAGATGTTGCGGAGGTGAAGTCTACAAGATTTGGACAGTGATTGGATTTGGGACTGAAAGGACAGATGGGAGTCTAGGATTACACCTAGTACCCTGGCATGAGGGGAGGGACCGATGATTGTGTTATTGATCTTGATGGAGCAGTCAGGGGAGGCTGGGGGAAATACTAAGAGCTCAGTTTTGGAAAGGTTGAGTTTGAGGAAGTGGAGTGACATTCATGCCGATATGTCACTTAGTAGGTTTAGTAATGCGAGTGTAGACTGAAGGGGTGAGGTGAGGGGTAGAAAGATAGATTTGTGTGTCATCAGCATAGAAATGGTACTTAAAGCCATGGGAGTTTATCAAGTGACCAAGGAAGGAGGTGTAGATGAGAGAAGAGAAGGGGTCCAAGGACAGAACCTTGAGGGACCCCTTCAGAAAGAGGGAGTGAAGAGGAGGAGGCAGCGTTATAGGTAACACTGAAGGAGCACTGCGATAGGTAGGAGGAGAACCAGGAGAGAGCAGAGTCTCTGAGGCCAAGAGAGTGGAGTTTTTTGAGGAGGAGGGGTTGGTCAACCTTATCAAAAGCCACAGAGAGGTCAAGTAGTAAGAGTATGGAGTAGTGGCCATTGGTTTTAGCAGTTAGTAGATCATTAGTGAGTTTTAGTAGGGCAGTTTCAGTAGAGTGTAGTGAGCGAAAGCCAGACTGTACAGGGTCAAGAAGGTTGTTGTCGGTAGACTAAGCGTTCTAGGAGAACCTTAGAAAACCACATCATCTTTTTCCAGAGCAGTCTGTATTTATTTTGAGGTTTCCTGTGGGTTTTACTTTGAATCCCAGACAATTCTTCTGTCTGTTATGGCTGCAATCATTCTTGGTCTACCTGACCTTGGGTTGGTATCAAGAGATCACCAAACTTTCCGCTTCTTAATAGGCGATTTAACAGTACTAATTGGCATATTCAAGGCTTTGGACATCTTTGTCCTCTTCCATTTTTAATGTTCCATTACCTTGTTACGCAGGACTTTTGACAGTTCTTTTCTGATCCCCATGGCTCAGTATTTTGCCTAGTCAGTGCCTCCACATAAGAGCTGGCAGCACAGTGGCTAACTGGTTAGCACTTCCACCTGGCAGTATTCGGGTCGTTGGTTCGAATCCCAACCACGGCATCACCTGCCTGGAGTTTGCATGTTCTCCCTGTGCCTGCGTGGGTTTCCTCCGGGTACTCTGGTTTCCTCCCACACTCCAAAGGCATGCTGGTAGGTGAATTGGATCCTGTCTAAATTGGCCCTAGTATGTGTATGTATGAATGTGAGTTAGGGACCTTAGATTGTACGCTCCTCGGGGGCAGGGACTGATGTGAATGTATATGTAAAGCGCTACGTAAATTGACGGCGCTATAGAAGAACCTGAAATAAAAAAAATAAAATAAATAACAAACTCATTGGCTATTTATACACTGACACTAATTGCAATTTAAAAAGCCACAGATGTGGGACATTAACCTCTAATTGGGATTTTGACCCATGCGTGTCATCTTGTGTGTCTGTACCAAGGCCAAACATTCCAGGGTATGTAAACTTTTGATCATGGCCATTTAGGTGATTAGAGATATCGTTATGATTTAAAAAGGAGCCAAACAACTATTTGATAATAAATGGCTTCATATGATCAACATCCTTCAATAAAAGAGCATTTTTTTTAGCATGATGATCACTCATATTTTCAATGTCAATGCTGAAATTTCACAATTTCTGTCAGGGTGTGCAAACTTTTGAGCACAACTGTATATGTATGAGTGAAATGAATAAATTAATAAATAGATAAAGTGAACTGCCGCTACTCTCTTCCTGAATACCAGAAAAAATCAATGAGATAAACAATAAAATGAGTGCGCTGTACGCTGATAATATCCTGACACAATAAATAAAAAATAACACAAACTCACATGTATACAGGTGTACAAAAATCAACATATAAAGTCCTAAAATCAATGTCCGTAACGTGAAAATACATAAGTCCCAAATCCAATGTCCCAGAGGATGCCAGTTTTGGAGAAACGCGTCGGACGGAGTCTTCTGTGACGTTACCACGTTTTGGCCGGTGGAATGACACCGCAGCTGATGTGAATCTGTATACCACCTTCATGTACCTTATCTATGTAAGTGAAGTGTTTTATTAAATAAACCTTTCAGTTTTATCGGGTTGCACTATGAAGTCTCTTCTGTTTTAACACTTCTCTACACTGTATGGAGAGTGGTTTAGTGTGAGAAATCCGTCCGGGTGAGCCCGCAGCTGTCCATCCATCTCCTCCTGACGGGTGTCAGTGTGGATCGGGACACCATCTGCTCATTTGATCTCTTGATTTGAGATCACATTGGTCTGGTAAGAGGCTGATCTTTTTGGTGTGTCAAGCACTTGTGAACACCATAGCACCGTGTTGGAAGTTTTACTCAGCACGTAGCACTTTTCCTTCCTTCACATTAGATTTGGGACTTATTATGTATTTTCATGTTATGGACATTGATTTATAGCACTTTATATGTTGATTTTTGTACACATGTATACATGTGAGTTTGTGGTTAATTTTTATTTATTGTTTCAGGATATTATCATTGTACAGCGCACTCATTTTATTTTTAATCTTGTCCTCAAACTTAGTCTTCCCAAGGGCGTGAACGACTCATGACACTGCATCTCTCACTACTGAGAGGAAAACAAGCCACACTGATCAGTGCCTACGCACCTACAATGACAAATCAGGATGAAGTAAAAGACAAATTTTATGAAGATCTCGATGCTCAACTCTCATCCGTGAAGCGCACAGACAGGCTGATTCTACTTGGCGATTTCAAGGCTAGAGTAGGATCCGATCATTCTGCCTGGGATGGCGTCATTGGAAAAAATGGAATCAGCAAATGTAACAGCAATGGCCTATTACTACTGAAGACATGTGCAGCTCACGATCTGATCATCACCAATACCATCTTTCACCTGCCCACTCGCAAAAAAGACATCCTGGATGCAGCCATGCTCCAAGCACTGTTATCTTATTGATTATGTCATCGTGCAGAGGAAAGACAGACAGGATATAAGGATAACCAAGGTCATGCCGAGTGCTGACTGTTGGACTGACCATAGACTCTTCATCTCCAAATTAAGTTCTTACCAAACCAAATCAAATCAAATCAAATCAATCAAACTAAAGAGAGACGTCTGCAGGGAAACAAAGCTGTGATGAAATGGATTAACGTCAGTAAACTGAGGAACCCCAACACAGCAGCTTCACTAGCAGAAGATCTTGACAACCAACTCTCAGAGCTGCAATTAGAGGGAAATGCTGAGAAGGACTGGGAACGCTTCTGGGATATTGTGCACTCTTCTGCACTAAAGGTTCTTGGACCCTCACACAGGAAACACCAGGACTGGTTTGACAAAAAAGATGATGAGATCAAGGCCCTACTTGCTGAAAAGCACCGCCTTCACCGTGCTTATCAGAATGAACCGTCCTCAACAACTAAGAAAAATGTCTTCAACAACACTCGCAGGACTGTACAGAGCAAGCTTCGCAAGATGCAGGACTCCTGGTTGAGTGCCAAAGCAGATGAAATTCAGAAGCTTGCTGATAGAAATGATGCCAAACGGTTCTATGAAGCCCTCAGATCCTTGTACGGACCTCAGCCCTCAGGGAGCTCCCCTCTACTAGACTTAAGATGGTGCAGCTCTCATTACTGAGAAGACTATGATCCTACAGCGTTGGGCTGAGCACTTCCAATGTGTACTGAACCGCCCATCTTCCATCAACAATGAGGCGATCGACAGAATGCCCTAGGCGGATTTTAACCACAGCCTGGACGCCCCACCAACAAAGACTGAAACTCTACAGGCTATCAGCCAGCTGTCCAGTGGCAAGGTCCCAGGATCTGATGCAATCCCAGCGGACGTTTATAAGGATGGCGGTGCAGTGCTTGTCACAAACTCACTCTGCTGTTCCAGTCCTTCTGGAATGAAGGATCCATTCCTCAGTAACTGAAAGATGCGTCCATCGTATACCTCTACAAGAGGAAAGGGAAAGTCGGCAATAATCAGAGAGGAATATCGCTGCTTTCCATCGCAGGCAAGATCCTTGCACGAGTGTTGCTGAACCGCCTGACTGACCACCTGGAACAGGGTTTATTACCTGAGTTTCCACAAAGAGCGTGGAACTGGGGGCATGATCTTCGCAGCCCGACAGCTCCAAGAGAAGTGTCAAGAGTAGAACTGTACACCACTATCATGGATCTCACCAAAGCTTTTGACACTGACAGTCGCGAAGGTCTGTGGCGCATCATGTCGAAGTTTGGATGCCCTGACAGATTCATTCTAATGGTAAGTCAGTTCCACAACAGCATGATGGCTTGTGTTTTGGAAGACGGAGAAGCTTCTGAGGCCTTTCCCGTTACAAATGGCATCAAGCAAGGTTGCGTGTTGGCACCTCCCCTGTTCAGCATAAAGGTAAAGGAGACTGTGCTACGAGACCTCCTTTTTGCTGATGACTGTGCCCTGAATGCTGTATCAGAGCAGGAAATGCAAGCCAGTGTGGACAAATTCGCAGCAGCATGCGACAACTTCGGCGTCCTCATCAACACCAAAGTGATGCATCAGCCAGCTCCGAAAGCCCAACACCAAGAGCCCACCATCACAGTGAAGGGACAAAAGCTGCAAGCAGTGGACTAATTTCCATATCTTGGCAGCACCCTATCCTATTCATTGACAAATGACATCAAGGTCAGGTCACCTGCAGAATCGCCAAGGCAAGCTCTGCATTTGTTAGACTACTGACCAACGTGTGGGACTGCCGTGAGATAAGCCCTGCCACAAACCTCAAAGTCTACCGAGCAGTAGTGCTAACTACCCTAATGTATGCCAGTGAGACTTGGACTTTATACTGGAGGCATGCTAGGCAATTGAACCACTTCCCCATGACCTGCTTCCGCAGACTTCTGAGGATCTGTTGGCAGGACAAGGTGCCAGACACAGAAGTCCTCTCCAGAGCAGGCCTGCCATCACTTCACACCCTGCTGATGAAAGCCCAGACACTCTGGGCAGGCCATGTTGCAAGGATGCCAGATCTCTGCATCCCTAAACAGCTCCTCCATGGTGAGCTGTCTCAAGAAACACAATCGCACGGGAGACAAATGAAGTGATACAAAGACACATTGAAAGCTTCCTTCAAGTCCCTGGATATTGACATCACCTTCTGGGAAACCCTGGCACAAGATCAATCGGCATGGTGCACGTTGATCCACTAAGGCTGCCAGACATTTGAGGAGAGAAGAACAACCACAGCACAAGAGAAGCGAGCACTCTGCAAATGTAAATGCAGTGCCCACATATGTCTGCCCTACATGTGGCAGAACATTTAGTGCCCGTATAGGCCTTACTAACCACCTACGGACACACCGTGGACAGCCCGCTGCCTGTTAGATGTCAAGCAAATAGATGACAGCAAATATGGCATACACAGGTAGCAAGACGAATCTCAAATCTCAATTTAGTGTAGCTTTTGTTTGCCTTTCTTGGTATTGGATTGTGGTTGAATTCCTGGTAATTGTTGGCCCTTTGAGAGCAAGCAAATTCAGGTCTGTGGCCATGTAAGAGTAGTCATGGTATCTGTCTTAAGTTGCAATGGATCTTTTTTGCTCTCTGCAGTAAAGATGTATGACCCTTTCAGATCAACCACAGATACTATACAACATATTATGTAAGAAGTAAACCCTTGTGATGTCAAGCAGGACTTTTTATTGTGACAATGTGCATAGAGTGGAGCTTCCAGAAGCTGACGTCACTATGCACACTGTCAATCATGCAGATGTGGTACCTGTTTGCTGGTATTCAACTGACCATTGCCTTGGATAGTCTTCATGCATTTATTACCTTTATTCAGAGGTCTGATATCTTTGGTAAGAGTCTGTGTTTGTGTTGGAGCAAAGGAGTGACCATGTGTGATATTTACTGTGGATGGACTTTTTTTTATTGTGGAGTTATTCGCATATACTATTGTACTCGATTGCTATTTGGATGTTGTGGGAAATTATTTCACATGAATGTATTTTATGTATTTATTTATTTATTTATTGATCCTTTTATTGTTATTTATTCAGAGATTATGCATTGAGTTTTGGCACAATCTGATCTTTATCTGCACATTTGCTGATATACATATATTTAAAGAGGAAGTGCATAACGTTTTATGTTTATATAATGTCCAGTAGCAGCACCTTGTACCCAGATCTTTTTGGATACAACCTCCAGCAAGGCAACTGTAACTCAGAATAGCATTGCACTGCACATTGGTTCAATCTGGGGCAAAACCCAGAGGAGAAAACAACATCCTGGAAGGTTGCCTCAAACTTGTATCCCTTTCCCTCAGAGAGCATCATTGAATGAAACCTACAGTGAATGGTTGGGAATGGATAAATATTCAAAAATAAATATTATTGCTACTCATTCTGACAGGAAAAGTAAACACTTTTAGGCTGGCTACAGATTGGCTGCTAAAGCAAACACAGTGTTTAACCAGGGACACTCACACTTAAAGTAACACTAACCTCTGATTTAAGTTATATAACATAGTTTAAAAAGTACCTTCTATTACTTTCGGCCTCATCCAAATCTCCACATTCCCTTTTTTTGCTGCTGTAATCTGACTTCCTGTAGGAGGGTGGCTGCATTTGTTCTCTATGGTACCATTGTACAAAGGGACATAGCTCTTCTCTTTTACTCACTCTTGAGAAGGACTAGGAACTATGAGCAATGAAGTCTTGGATTTGTAGTGTCCACAGAGCAGTGCAGATGACTAAAACTATCATGTACTGCTTGTTCCAAACAAACAAGTGAGGGCATAAAATAAGAGGCTTGGAAGCTCACAGAGGACATTATAAGGAGGAAAACACAGTAAGAAAATTATTTAATGAAAAATGGATTATCAAGCCACTTAGTATTGGATGTGTATGGATTATATTTGGAAAATTAGGATATTATTTAGTGTCACTTTAAGGCAGGGTCCTTACATAAGTATGTAGTTACTGATCCTACCTGAATCTCCTGAATCTAGTGCCATCCTTAAAATGACATAAGTCTGTGAGACAGACAATTGCAAATAATATGTAGCTTTATTCAGTGGTAATTTCACCCTGTAAAAAAGAAAATGGTCAGTACAAATAGAGCAACAGTGTCAATGATCAACTGTGAAATCCCAATATTGCATTTGAACATCAAAAAGAATGCGATAAAGCAATATGATAAAGCATTTTTGGCTTCTGTAATTTGTGAAACCAGTCTCCCTAGAGCACATGGTGTGTGCCATCTTTAAAGAATTGCTTGGCTGCCCGCATGACTCGATTTAATTTCAGCTGTACATAAGGCTCCTATTTCATCAAGCACTACCAACAGCAGTATGCTTCCCCTGACTCATGTTCCTTATGTGAATAAGCGCTCTGTTCTTCCTTTGATATGACTAACTATAAGAGATTCAACACCAGTTTATCCTCGGGGAGTCTGGTGGATTCAATACATCAAGGAGTTGATCACGATGACTCCTAAATTCTTCCAGTTGGCCACATGCCGAAATGAGGATTTCTTTGCCACACTGGTTCCCCTTAACATTCCATCATTTTGTGATTTCCCTTTCGTGGCCCTTTTTGTAATCGCTTTTTATTTCATTTCATCTTGCCTTGCTTTTTGCCAAGACACATTATGATGCCCTGTCTCTTGCTTTCTACTCTATTGATGCTGGTACAGTGACCCAGTGGTATAATGGTACTGGAACCCTCTCGGAATGGGACTCAAATAACCCCCCCCCCATTTACCGTTTCCTTATTGCACTTAATATGCTGACAGTGACACTGTACTAATGGTGGGGGTGAGGAAGATTTTTTTTTTTTTTTTTTTTTTACACTGATTGTTTTTTACACCCATAAAGGCTGTAAAAACAATCATTTTTCTTTTTCTCTCTGTCTGCATTCGTGCAGCCATTGAGAAATACTGTGAGAGCTGTGATTGGTCAAAGCTTGTCAAATGGTACAAGGCTGTTGTGAATAGCCTTGTGCCATGTGACCTCTGTGATCATTCACAGATTTCACAAGTAGTAAACAATTATGTCAGGAAGTGACATCTTGTTTACTACTGTTTATGTGATCACTGATTGGCCAATCAGTGATCACATGTATCAGGACCTCACACAGAGGTCCTGTACAGTGATCTGTGTTCAGATTGCAGTGCTACCAGGGAGTGTACACAGGCAATGGATGTGGGGGGCTTTTTAGAAACGTCCCCCTGCATCGTCAGTGCTCCCATCCGGACGTTTATTGGCATGCGCCAGACGGGAAGAGTTTAAACAAAACCTTAATGTAATAAACAAATTAAAAAAGCAGTCAGCACATATAAATATGATACTCTATATACTATATACTAAATATGCGCAAACACAAGTGCAGCGTTGTATACACAAATTTAGTAATAATGTAAATATTAATAAAGCAACAATGTGATATGTAGTTCACAATTTACATGCAGTGGTGTTGATTTACTAAAGGAAAATAGACTGTGAACTGCACATGCACTCCAAGTGAACTGAAAGGGCAGTTGCTCTAGATCTGAAGGGAACATGCAAGGAAAAGAAAAACAGCATCTTTGCTTGTTCATGGTTGGATGAAAAAAAATCAGCAGAGCTTCATTTCAGAGCTTCTGCTTGGATATATAAAGCAACTGCACTTGAAGTGCACTTGAAGTGCATTTGCAGGTGCACTTGTGGTGCACTTCCAGTGCACAGTTCATTTACCTTTAGTAAATCAACCCCAAAGTGTGACTCTCAAATGAGAAGTCAAACTGTGCTTATGGAAGGATTTAGTGGGCCATTGTACATACTCCCCAAGTGGCATCAAAATTGTATCTCCATTCTCACAATAGTGATGCTAGAAAACATGTAAATGTAAACAAACTTCAAATAATGTAAATCTGATGGATGGATATCTTTTAATGTTAGCAACAAAGGCTAAAAAGGAGTATCAAATAATATGTTCTCTGTCAAAATGTGTTTTATGAATACGGCAATTAAAGTGGTAGGCTGCTGACTTGAGAGTCCTTCAGGGAACCAGAACCTTGCTTACCATTCATCACTTACAGGACCACTCGGATGAAAGAAAATAAGGCAATAGCAAAACAATTTGAGCTATACTATCATAAGCTTTATAACTTGAGACCTAACCACTCTAATCAGCATCGCCAGGAAACTTGTGCTCTTTTGATCAAATAATTTTTAGCCGCTTATAGCCCGGCTGCTATGCCCGAACAACAGACGACCCATGACCTAGAACATCTGCTTACTCTTGAAGAGTTAAATGTAGCACTGAAACAAATGAAATTGGGTAAAAGTCCTGGGCGTGATGGTCTCACACTCCAATACTAAAAGTGCTTTGCTGAGGTTCTGTCCCATGCCTTCTAAGACCTTTAAAGACCTTTATTGCTCTCCACATTGTCCTGTTGGTCCCATTCCAAAACTACTGAGCAGGGGCGGACTGACCATTCGGGCATTCAGGCATTGCCTGAGGGCCTGAGGTCAGTAGCGGGCCAGTGAGAGGATCACTGTCCAGTGATAGTGTGGGGAGCAGAGGAGGCCCTCTCTCCCCCCCTCCCCTCTCTCCACCTCTCTCTCCCTCTCTCCCTCCCTCCCTCTC